ACCCAGGGACTTCTCACTAAGCTTCATTTCCAGCACTTTATTTTTTGAAACAGGGTCTCAAGTTGCCTACGCTGGTCTCGAGCTTGTGATCCTCCTGCCTCAGCCTTACTGAGTGCTGGAATTATACGCATGTGCCACAATGCACGGCGGCAGCCCTCTTACTGAACATAATAAACTGAGTAAGAAATTGCCTTCGCCTGCAAAGCAAGTATCTATAAACTCTAAGACTTTAGAGGCTCTCAAACACCTCTGTCGCCACCCTTAAACCTGAGAACTCCGTATATTTCCCTTACTTTCAGCTTTTACATCTGGACTCAAAGATAACAACCAGCCTGCTGCCCTGTGTTAGCACATCTGAATTTATTTAACCTCCTACTACCTCGCCAGCTGAAACATAATTCGGTGACTGCTAATTCTGGAATTTTTTTGAATGTTGCTTTGTTCTGCTTAGGTTTCCAGTGTGTGTTTACAAATACAACCTCTGAGGGAAGAATTACGTTACGATTAACCTAGGGCAAGTTTGGATTAGAACTTCTCACAGAAGTAAACTGAGCCCAGGAGAGCCACATGCTCTGGACCACAAGGCCAAAATTCAGAAGTCAAGGGACTGCGGCATGTTTAAGGCGAGTACTGTGCACTTGTGTTTCAGAAGAGGAGGGTCTGTTCCCCCGGTCCCCGCCGCGTGCCATCTCTCCGCTAGCAGGCCGGCGTGAGCTGGGCAAGGCCCGAAGAACTGGAAGGGGAGCAGGCGGGTCTAAGGTACACCGGACAGTGGGTGACGAGCAAGTGCACTAAGCTGCAGCTCTCCTTTCTGCATTTACCTGGACACAGTGAGGAAGCGCCAGATTAGTAGCAGGAATGAGCTAGGACACGGAAAAGCAGCGATCAAGGAGCAGGGACTAGGGAGACGAGGAAGGAGTCAGCTAACTTCCCACCATCCGCAGACACGCCAGGCTAGAGGCCCGCGGCCGCGCCCCCTACGCTCTCCCCAGCACCCAGCACCCAGCACCCAGCACCCAGCCCGGGACCAAGTGCGGCCCGCTCCGCGCGCGGCGCATGCGCAGAGTCGCTCCGCGGGCCCGCTCCCAGCCTCAGGCTGCGCCAGGCCCCACGCGGCCCCACGCAGGAACAGGGCCTCGCAACCCCGCAGCCGCGGCGCCGCCCCCCAGGCTCTGGGTGCCGGCATCACCTGGGTCCCGACCTTCGGGCTCGCACCTCCAGCTGATGTGCAAGCGTCGCAGACCTGGAAACGTTTCTGCAGATCGGGGCGCCACCACCGTCCGCCGAACTTGCTTCAGTTTAAGCTCAGCGCCTTCCTGGTTCCAGCGCCAGGCAGGGTCAGCCGAGCTGTCGAGTGTATCGATGCGGGCGGCCAGGCTTGGGAATGCCGAGGGAGTAGATTGTCACACCGCCAATTTTTTGTTCAGTTGATTTTGTGTGTGTGTGTGTGCCTGTATAATTGGATTTTCTTGTTCCCAAAAAGCAATAAAGGTGGGAATGGAGGGTTTCACTGCTCTAGTAATCACCATTATCGTCACAGATAATCAGTAAACAAATCTGCATTATAGAAAGTTATGTTTAAGACACCCACGTTTAGCAAAATTGGATATCTCGTGCTGGGGGAGGGGGACACTCGCCCAACAATAATAAATCACGCAAATGTGTCTGTGTAGGGTCGTATGTGATTAAACTGTAATGATTTATTTGCAAAAACTGCGTTGAAAATTGCTGTTTCGTCTGTCCTGAAGGTGAAGGCAGTCAGAAGTTGGGTGCAAATTAGTTTCTCAGATTAAAATGGTTGATAGAGGAATAAGAGAAATCTGCCCCATCGGGAAGAGGGAGTTTCTTCTGGAAGAGAAATCAAATATATAGGGTTTTCTTTTTTAATTTAAACCAACAGAAACAAAAGCAATGTAGCATTTTTTGTAATTTATACTACAGCTACATTACTTATTTTTCCTTGCGTGAAAATCATTTACTGTAAGGAAACACCGCTAAGGAGATGCATAAAGTGTTAGCTTTGGTTTGGGTCGACTGTGAAAACCAGTTCATTCAAAACTGCTAGATAACCTAGCTATGGTTTTCCACAGACATTTTAATGATGAAAATCACCTCCACAATATTTTCTCATAAATAACTGTACCTTAACAAGCCAATTCTGGGGAACTGTTTAAATACTTACATGCCAAATTATGTTTATTTTAAATAATTCAAGAGCTGGGAGCCCTTGGAGTCCTGAATTTTATTGGAACCTGTATATCTGTCCACAGTCTGTCAGCTGAGCCTTGCCCTCAATGGTTTTGTTCCAAACTGCTTTTTGAAATGTTCTGTCTCTAAACAATATTTGCTGTTAAGTGCAACATCAGTAGAACATCATAGCATTTATTAGAATAGGGTTTTAAAACCACGATTTAAGAAGAAAAATTTCCTTTAGCGAACTAAAAATCCATCATCAGACACTGATTTCTCATAGCACTACACTTCTTAAATTTAAAACGAACCAATAAACTGAAATCATAGGAAAGTCACTTGGTCTGAATTATGCAACAGTTGTGTCTGAGCCTTCTCTAATTACCGTTAAGGTGGTCAAACTCAGTAGATGGAATATAAATTCAGACTGAAAAGATGTGTACCTAAAAGAATAAAAAAGTACCTGGAGTGTCTCCTGATCCTGTATCAGATTTAAATATGTAGTATAGTTATTTGTGAATTTGTATCTAACACCTCAATTTTGAGCTCTTGGGATGTCAGATCTATAAGTGGTCCTTCTGCTAAGTAATCTCAAAACTGGTGTTTTGTAAAGACTAAAGTTTTATGATTAATCCCCTTTGATAATCAGCATTAAAGTGGTTACAGATAGCACATCAAGACCCAATATGAAATCATGTTTTTAAATTCATGTGACTTTGGAAAGTTGGATATTTGAGTCTCTTGTAGGATAATAAAAGCAAGTAGTCATATAATTAATTCTTAAAAACTATTGTTACTGAAAGATCTTAATTATTTGTCCTAAAAATATCAAAAGAAAAGGTTTAAGAAGGAAAATTGACTTCAAAGAAAAAGCAAAGCAACATTTCTAAAAAGCATGATTTCATCTTCCATTGATTCACCAAACAGCATTTTAATCAGAGGAGAATTGTAGTGTAACATGAAAAGTTGTTGTGTTCTCCTTGTACAAATGCTAGAGGATGTTTTGATAAAACTTCTGAAAGTATCTGCTAACTTTGTTTTGATCCTTTAATTGTAAAAGTTATACATGTTAATGTTTTGTAATTGCTTTTATTTTACTCTTGGATCCAAGATAAGGAACAAAGTTCTTTAACATCAGAAAGAGCATTAACATTCGGTATACTGTACTTGGAAGTGTTCAAAGCCTCACTTAAAAATTTGTTTACACGCTGAAGTAAATGTCACTTTGCATATGTAAATATTTTCATATTTCAGGGACCAGCACAGCCACACTTCTCACAGCCAGCCCTGCCCTGCACCATGTAGACAAATGAGTCGGGAATATAGATGGTCCTCCCATATAACAAACCACTTCCTTGAAAACAGCCCAGAAATATCATTTTTGAAATTTTAATCGTATCTTAGAAAAGGGGAGGAGAGCTTTCTCTCCTCCAGCATCTCTTCTTGGACAGTATCAGGTGAAAATAATTCGACGGGGCAAAAATTTAACCTCGTTGTTTGCTTTTTCAAATTCGAAGAAGGATAACCTTTTGTTTTTCGAAATTAGAAAACCAACTAGCCTGTTTCATGGGAAGTTAAAGAAATGCTCGGGGTGCATCTTGGGAGTGGTCCTGGCGCAAAGAGTAGAAAGGGATAAGGGTGAACATCAAGAGACCTCAGGGAGAAAACGAAGTCGAGCTGTCCTTGACCGGGCACTAGGGAAACACTTTAAAATGGGATCTGTCAGGGAACAGCTGCTTAGGAAACATGTTAAATCGACCGGCCTCTTCAAGTGGAATGTGTCCGCACGGGAGTGGGCTTTGACTTCAAGACGTGAGTAGTGGCGTGAATGGCTCGGACCTAGGCGTGGAGCCTGAAGACCCGGGCTCAAACTGAATGCGGGCCAGGATTCTTCAGAAGGAGGACAAGTCGGAGAGCGCACAGAATTCTGACTCTGGGCGGGCTCAGGAGAGATGCCGAGTGTGGGGCTGCGGGGGTCGAGCAGGGCACGGATGCAGGAGTGGGATGCAGGGTCGGGAGGCGGGACGGAGATGTAGGGCCTATTAATTGCTGGGTGCCCGGCGCGGGGCAAAGACCAGGGCTCAGCCCTGTGCGGCCGCGCAGCGGCGCGGCACCCCGACACCCGGGGAGGCTGCAGGGTCGCAGACAGGACGCGGGGCTGACTCCCGGAGCCGCGCACTTGTCAGTTTCCTCTTGGCCCCGCCCCCGCGGAGTCCATCCAGCTCCCCAGTGTTTAACTAAGTCGTGACACCAACGCACAATCCACGGCTAATTAAATTAATTAGGGATTCTTGTCAATCCTGGATTAATGACCAAGACCACTGGCGGCCGAGGCTCTCTGAAAACCCGAGCCGCCGGGGACTCGCCGCCTCTCCCCGCCCCCGCCGGTCCCCCGGCCGCCCTCCCACTCCCGCGCCCCGACTCCATCCTGCGCGCGCTCTCCTCTCCGGCTCTCCCTCGCTTCTCTCTCCCTCCGTCTTCTTCCTCTCTTTCCCTCCCTCTCCCCCCTCCCCACCCCAGGTAGTGGCGTGGCTGCTCCCCGGGAAGGGGCTCACTCCGAGCTGCAAGGGGAGGTAATTTACTCGGAACAAGGGGCCGCCTTTCGGAAGTATAAATAGTGCGACTTCAAGCGCCGCGTCGCTATCAGATCTGAACTCTCCGCAGGAAGAATTGTCAAAGATCTTAACACCGAACAAGCGCGCTCGGGCGGGGACGCATCAGCTCCCACTTCCCTCCCGCGGCCCCCGCCCCGCTCTCCTCCTCCCTTCCTCGTCCTCCTCCTCCTCTTCTTACTTCTTCTCTCCTTTACTTCTCCTCCTCTTTCTTCTTTCTTCTCTTCTTCTTCCTCCTCCTCCTCCTCCCTCTCCTCCTCCACCTCCTGCCCCATTGATGTGTTATTATTGGGGGGGCTGGAGCAGTAAAAAAAGAAGAAGGAAAAAAAGAGCGGGGCTCAGCAGGGAGAGGTTGAGCGCGGGGCTGAGCGCAGGCGGCGGCGATGGAAGAACTTACGGCGTTCGTCTCCAAGTCTTTTGACCAGAAAGTGAAGGAGAAGAAGGAGGCCATCACGTACCGGGAGGTGCTGGAGAGCGGGCCGCTGCGCGGAGCCAAGGAGCCCAGCGGCTGCGCCGAGCCGGGCCGAGACGACCGCAGCAGCCCCGCAGTCCGGGCGGCCGGCGGAGGCGGCGGCGGAGGAGGCGGAGGCGGAGGAGGCGGAGGAGGCGGAGGAGGTGCAGGAGGAGGAGGAGCAGGCGGAGGAGCTGGAGGAGGGCGCTCTCCCGTCCGGGAGCTGGACATGGGCGCCGCGGAGCGGAGCAGGGAGCCCGGCAGCCCGCGGCTTACCGAGGGTAATGGCCCGACCCCCGGCCCGGCCGGGTTCCCCTTCCCGCCTTCTCTTCTCTTCGCCTCCGGGCGGGAGCGGACCCCGAGGCCCAGCAGGGAGGGGTCCGTACGCAGAGAGGGGCCTGGACCTCAGCTCTGCGAAGTAGAGTGATCGTGGAGGGGTGGGAGTCCAGGGGTGCGCAAGGTCGTGGGTGGGGTGCTCGCGTGGGGGAAGGCGTGGGAGATTTGTGCGCATCCTTCCCGGATGCTGCCATTGCACCGAAAGGCGTTTTTCGCCAGCTGGGTCTTGGGCCCTCAGCTCGGACGGCCCGCGGGCGGACGTGGAAGTTCGCAGGGTCTGGCTGCGGGGTTAGTGCTGGGCTGGGGCTGGATGGGCGGCCGGATTCAGGCTAATATCCAGCCGCGAGTTTGGGGAACCTCCTCCCAGCTTCAGGGAGGCTGGGAGAGAAAGAGGCAAGGCGGGAGAGACAGACAGACAAACAGATTGAGATTGACTTCAAGCTAGGTCGCCGCCGGGTTTGGAGCTGCCCTTCAGACACTTCCAACTCCACAAAAGATTCTAAATCTCTGGATCTTAGGGACCCAAACTTCCCACTCCTTTTGAAGGCTGCAGGCTGAGTGAAGGCAAGGCAAGCTAAGGGCCGGGCTTCGTTGCCCTTTCCCGGCTGAGACGTTTAGGTTTCTATTCGGGGGTGAAGGGTGGATGGTGTTTTTTGCAATTTACACAATTCCTTTACTGCTTCTAATCATCTAGTATTCTGGTCGTGTGTGTGTGTGTGTGTGTGTGTGTGTGTGTGTGTGTGTGTGTTAGGGAAGGGGAGTGATTGTTTAGTGCCAGGGAAGAGTTAGTCAGGAAATGGCTTTATCTAAATGGTGGAGTGTCCTGTACCAATTCAAAGGAGTTCAACAATAAAATTAATTTGGCAGTCGATGCTGCAGTAAGTGGTGTACTGCCATATTTTTCCAATTAAGAAAATATGTGACATGCGTAGAATCACATATTTAAGCAAGCAATTAAGCTGTTTATAACAGGAGCTGTTCCTGTTTAGGCCATTAAGTGGAAATTTGGGGACAAAATGGAAATTACAGTAAATCTATTCATCAGCTTGAAATTTGGACATTTCTCGTTGATGCCCAAAACTTTGACGGCTTCCACTGAATGACAAGACATAGACAAAGCCTTCCCACCCCTTTGCAGAATCATGCGTGTACGTTTTTTGGTTTAAATGTCATTACAATATCAGTGGGAGTGCTTTCCTATCAAATTGACCTCTCATGTTTATTATAATGTTATCTACTTCAATCCTGGACAAAGGACAGATTCCACAAAACGAACTCTGAGAACTTGAAATTAGTACAGCGCTTAACATTACCTCAGCTAGAATGCCAGCCTGAGCTGAGATCTACCGATGCTTCACCTAGGTGCTGTACCACATCCTCCTAAATTTGCAGAGTGATGAGATAACTGTCAATAAGGCCCAGTGCAGGGTCCCGACCGTGGGTTCACAGTTCCGGGCCCTGGGTTCACAGGCCATCAGAAGGTGTAGTTTGAGTGGGAAGTTTGGGAGGGCAAGATCCTAGTATTGTTGATTTTCAAGGTCGGGGTAGGTATGAATTTCTCTGTAGACCGGCTCTTTTGGAAATGATTTTTAACACCCTCATGCATAAAGATCCTGAGTTGAGAAGAAATGCAAATAACCTCAACTATATAAATTCAGAATAGGTAGTTTAAATATCCCAATCTCTACGTCTGCTGCAGAGGGCAAAGGGGAGTCTAAATTGATAGGCTGCTTCCCCTGATCGCTGTCCCTTGGCCAAGATGTAGATATTAACACCTTTTGGGTGGCCCCATCACTGGGTGGCTGAATGCTCACACAGGCAGAGCTCCTGTTTTTAAAAGGAAGAGGACAGGAAAGTAACAACGGATGTGTGCGAACACAGCAGAGAAAATGCATATTTTATTAAACATCCGAGCTGCTGGGTGCATGAAAAGGCTTTAAGCAACCAATAGAAACCGAGGATCGGGAATGTTCTCTTGAACCTGTTGATCTCTGTGGGTTTAAGCTTTTAGGATCGAGTCTGCGTTTCCACTGGGGAGGGAGAAGGGCAGAACTGAAGCAGCTGTGGGTTTCGCGGACGACCCGCGGTGATTTTCTGCCTTTTGCCTTGTGGCCCGGCTTGGGAGGCGAGCCCTCCAGGCTGCCAACATGGCGTGGGCGCCTGTGCTCAAGTGACCTGGGTCCGGCAGGGAGGACGGGAACTGTCTGGCTGCCCGCGAAACCTTCTACCGGGTCTGACTCGAACCCTGGGGCAACGCGGTCACCGGAGATGCGGCTTCAAGAGCAGCAGCACTGGTGTCTTGTTCCCGGCTGCGACCCTTCGGTCCACTTGTTCTTAAATTAGATCAGCAAGTTTGTGGCAGTCAAAGGGCCAGAGTCAGCGAGAGGTGGCCTAACAAGGGGCCAGCTCCGGCTGGCGTGAAAGGCCGGTGCGTGGCCTCGCCGCGCCCTTGTACCAAGACCTCGCTCTAGGAGAGGCCCGGCATGGCGCTTCTGATTTCAGTGAGTGCGTGGGAGAGACTGAGTGACCGAGAATTCGGGTAGAATGCATTTGGTGTTGGCAAGGAAGGGCGGGGAATCTTGGGGTGGACAGCGGAGCGATGAGCCGAGGCCACCGTGCTGAGGAGGAGGGTGGCCTTCTCCACCCTGGCCACGGCGGTCGTGACCTTTGCATGTCTCCTAAATCCTCATCATCCTCAGCGGGGGAAGGGCTGGATCGGATTCTGAGGGGGTAGGATCTTCTACCTTTCTTGAGACAAATCTGGTAACTAGATTTGCCGTGCTGTTTTTGTCCGTGTGTGTGTGTGTGTGTGTGTGTGTGTGTGTGTTGGTGTATGTTGGTATGTGTTGTTGTGTACATACATGGACGCACGCATGGTCTGGCCCGTGTTATCCCCTCCAGTGTCACCCGAGTTGAAGGATCGCAAAGAGGATGCAAAAGGGATGGAGGACGAAGGCCAGACCAAAATCAAGCAAAGGCGAAGTCGGACCAATTTCACCCTGGAGCAACTCAATGAGCTGGAGAGGCTTTTTGATGAGACTCACTATCCTGACGCCTTCATGCGAGAGGAACTAAGCCAGAGACTGGGGCTGTCAGAGGCCCGAGTGCAGGTACCAGACTGAGAGCAGGTCAAGGGTGGGCCCAGGGCTCAAAGACCGGATCCCTCCATCGAGTTTGCAGAGGCAGTTTGGTTCACGTCCCAGTGTGGGATAAGAAGGGGTGGGATATTTTTACTATAGGTCTTATTTTGTAAAGTAGATCTTAACCCTGTCCCCCCCATCCTAACATATGTTCTGTGCAGAAGAAAGCTGTGCTGGGCTTGCTCCCAGAGTTTCTATAAACCACACCCCCCCTTGCCTCTAACTGGCTTTAATGTGGTTTAATCCTAATGGGCCTACTTTTATAAGCCTTAAAAAAATCCCACAGAAAACGTTTTATCTCTGGATGCCTTAAAAGTTACAAGTATTTTGCTTGCCTGAACTGGGTTTCACTGAGGGTCTGCTCTGGGGGGGTCTAGGTTTGCCAACCGGATATGCCAATTAGGTTTATAGATGTACAGACTATAAAGAAAATTAGCAACTGTTAAGTGCAGAAATTTACAGTCTACTGTTAGCGCTCGATCTCAAACTGTGGGTAAAACAGTAGAAAAATGAATGCGTTTTGGTCACTCTTTGTTCGCTTAACCAAGGCAACGAACCCGGAACTCAATTTTAAAACAACCCACATATCTTACTAGCGGCGTTTTCAAAACCTGAGCCCCAGCAAATGTCATATACCATGAAGTTAAGATTACAGCCGATTTTCTTTATTGGTTGTTGAGGTGAATGTAATAGCAAAAGTAGGCTTTGGGGGCAATTAAGGAGGAAAATTATATACATACATGTATACACATCCTTTCAGCTTTATGGGGAATAACTTTAAAGGTTTCAGATTGTATTTCCGCTCAAATAATAAAATAGGAGAAAATGATGGTCATTATTTGTTTGAACACATGGAGCAGTTTTAGGCTGGAACATCTGCAGCTGTTACAAAGTATCGCTGTAACAGATACTCCCTGGGTCTCTGGGCGTAGAGACCACCATCTGTATCGAACTATGCGCAATTCTTATGGGGCTTCTCCGCATCTTGTAATAGGATCAGGGAAAAAAAAAAAACAGCAGTAATGTTGAAGGAGAAAAGTAATAATAGGCCGCCTTGGTCATCGCAGCATCAGCAGCAGAGCCTTCCTTTTAAAGCTCCTCCTGCTTTGCTGTGTGCTCTGAGATCTCTAGAGGCACAGCAGCCCCTTGAAACCGTTATAATTATTACAGTTATGAGTAATAGTATCTCAATTCCAACTCTTATAGGAGAAAAAAGAGTCAAGAAGCCTCGGGCCATGTGAGTTATACAAAGGATGCCACCCTGGCATGAAATTCACCCTTCTATTATACTAAGTAGCAGGGGAATTTTTGAAGATTTACATTGACTATGGCATTTGCTTTTAAAAACATACCAGAGAAAGCTCTAAAGCAATATTTTCCTTTCATGGGGTTTTAAAACCTTAATTTGTAAATCAATCAATATGCTGTACTACTGGAGCTGGAGTATAAAAGCAAGCTTTACTTGAATTAAAAAAAAAAAATCTTTCATACTATATCTAGAAGTTTGCAAGTTATTTAAGAGGATGGGAATCAAATACCCAGGAGTTACTTGATCCATATCCCACTCTCCTTTCATGAAGTGCTCTTCTTTTAGTCTCAAGAAGTTAACTTTATTGTGGTGTTTATTATTTTATACTTTTATTTAGGTTGGAGAGCTATGTTCTGGAAACTTCCCTTCTGTCCTAACTCAAAACAGGGCTTTTTCTATATGAACAAATTAGATTATCATGATAATAGCACAATTATTCTGCTACTGTGTTACACTCTGCTGCACAGCGGAACAGAGAAATTCTAAACTTCTTTGTAGTGAGGCTTTTATGACACTAATTACCTCTCTCCCCTTACAAGCCCCTCCCCCCAAAGAATCATTATTTGCTTTAGTGTTTGGTTTTTCCTCAAGATGAGCTAATTAATACAGGCTATGGCCGAGTCCATTCTCGGGTCTTAACTGGGCAAACATTTTTACCCATTGTGACATTGGTGTCAGGTATGAGAAAGAGTTTCAGGTCCTGGGAACTTTGTTGCATGGAGAGATAAAACCAGGACTAGTAGTAATTTATCAAGGAACAAATTTAATTTTATAAAAGTTTATGAAATCTTTCTATTTTTGTATTTCATTTACATTTTTAGCTTGGAAAATATGACTGTTTTATATAATTGAAAGACTGCTTATTATATCTCTCAAGGCTTGCCTAAACCACTACTCTTTTTTTATTGAATTCTTATAGTTTAAAACTTGTTTCTTGAGTCATAACATCTAGGTTTTTCTCTCTCTTTCATCTTGTAGGTTTGGTTTCAAAATCGAAGAGCTAAGTGTAGAAAACAAGAAAATCAACTCCATAAAGGTATGCTTCTGATACAAGAAACATTTGCTATTATAAGTAAAAAGAGAAGTGGGAAAATATTGTTAATAAAAAGATAGAAAGTATCTCAAAAATAATTATTGTCCTTGATTTCAGAAACTTTTTATAAAACAGTTACAGTCCTAAAGTTTGGGAGTAAATTATATTTATTTTAATTATGATAACAGTTTAGAAAGGTAACAGTCAAATTCCAAAGGAATCTATCTTGGCATCATTTGGAACCCTGGAAAACAACACTAGGAATGTTAATCTCATACTATTGTGTTTTGTGCTATTCTTTACAGGTGTTCTTATAGGGGCTGCTAGCCAATTTGAAGCTTGTAGAGTAGCACCCTATGTCAATGTAGGTGCTTTAAGGATGCCATTCCAGCAGGTAAGTATAGTCTCATTTCAAGCTTTTTTTTTTTTAATGTAAAAAGACCTGGATGTTTGCTTGGAGTATTGAATATCCCGTGAGCCCAATGTCCATGCAGTTGAAGAATTGATTTCCAGGTGATATAGTGACCTTTTCCCCATGAAAAAACCTATATAGTGTCATAGTCCTGAATGCTTAGTCCTTTCTATTTTCCTGGAAACCCCACAGGGTCCCGAGGGCAGTAAATGGTCTTTTAAAAATGCACTAAAGATTGCAGTTGGGGAGAGGAAGGAGATGACTTTTGATTAAGATTTTGTCAAATCCAGCACAGAGGATAGTCCTAAAGTATTTCTAATGCAACCCTCTATTTTTCTAGGTATTTTCTGTCTCTTAGTCACATTAAATGTCTCAGGCAGAAGAAAAATAAACAAAAACAAGTACTCCCAACTCGGCCTTGTTTTTAAAATGCTACCTCCACAAACAAAGCTTCGTATATGATGAAGAGGGAAGCCTTAGTCTTCCCAGGGCTGCCCTGCCTCTACAATCCTTTTCTTAGCCATAAAGAAACCTTTAAAACTACCTTCTTAAAAGGACAGCCTGAAGCGGTGATTTAATCCTGGGAAATCCCAGTGCTCTGAACTCCCCTATCTCCAAGCCTGAGGGCAAAATCCTTTCCCAACCAGCACCTGACCTTCCCCATCCTTAGCTAGGACCCCTGCTTGGCACAACTGTGATGTGGTGAATTAGTTCTGTCACCAGCACCTTGAACTGGGAAGACACCTGGGCATGCCTGTGTACTGAGAGTAAGTGTTAGGGAGATGTTAGCTCCCCTGCCACCGCAGGATTTTGGCATCCTGATGTGGGAGTTCTGAAGTAAGAGAGACTTTTTGGAGAAAGAGGAAAGGAAGCATTGAGAAGGAAACTGGTACTCTTTGTAAGGTGGAGATCTTCAGGCAGAACCACACCACCGGGAGGGCTGTTGAAATTCAGAACCTCAGGACCTTCTGATGCAGAATCTAAATTTTTAGAAGATCTCTAGATAATTTTTATGGCCATAAAAGTTAGGAGTGTTGCTGACTCACAGTTATGCCGATTATGCCAATTGTGAAGATACAGTTTTACCCCACTAACCTAGAAAAGTTTTGCTTGGTAGTACTTCAGTGCTTCAGTAGTGGTACAAGGGATGAAAGAGAAAGGAAGAGAAAGGAAGAGAAAAGTAATCGCCCCCATCCCGAGACTTGTAAATATACTATTATGATTTTGAGGTGGGTGAGGTTTTTACAGTATCGTTAAGTAGCCCACTCTCCCGCCCAGCGCTCGAGGGGGCAGTGCATTCGTGCAGACAGGTGTCCAGGCCCAAGGAAATAAGCCCAGGCTGAAGGAGTTATCCGTGTGGCTCCCCAGGTTCAGCAACAGGCGGAGAGATTCACCCTCCGGACAAGTTGTTCAGCCAGAAACCCCATGCTTGTTCCCCTACCCCAACCTTTCTCCTGGCCAAACTGGACGCCGTTAATGCTCTGTTTCTATTCTGTTGTCACCCTAGGATAGTCATTGCAACGTGACGCCCTTGTCCTTTCAGGTTCAGGCGCAGCTGCAGCTGGACAGCGCCGTAGCGCACGCGCACCATCACCTGCATCCGCACCTGGCCGCGCACGCGCCCTACATGATGTTCCCGGCGCCGCCCTTCGGACTGCCGCTCGCCACGCTGGCCGCGGACTCGGCCTCCGCCGCTTCGGTAGTGGCTGCGGCCGCCGCTGCCAAAACCACCAGCAAGAACTCCAGCATCGCCGATCTCAGACTGAAAGCCAAAAAGCACGCGGCCGCCTTGGGCCTGTGACGCCAACGCCAGCGCTACCTTCGCGCCTCCGAGCGGGGGCCCCCTGCACGCCCTCCGCGTCCTGCTGCTTCTCGTCACCCCCGCCCGGATCCCCGGAGCCGACCCCCCTTCCGCCCCGCCGGCCGCCCCTGTCTCGCTCTGCGCCCCGGATCGGAGGGCCGGACTCTGCGCGGGACCCGGGATCCCCTAGCTACCAGCCCCGTGGCTCCTGCCCTCTTTACCCGTAGGCCTAGAATTCGGCTCGGTAGAAGCAGGTTTGGGGAAGTCTGGAGAGAGACTGCATGGACGAGGGAGTGCTGGGACCTCTGAGCGGGGCTCGTGGCAAAGCTGCAGCGGCGGACTCGTGCATAGGAAAAAATCTTGTTGATTTAAAAAGAGAGAAAGGGTAGAAAAGACAAGCCAGAGAGGAAAAAAGAGAACAAGATCTTATTTCTTATTGATATTTGGCATAAGCTGAAATCGGAGAGAGAACGACGGAGAAAAACAGTTTTAAAAATTAAAGTATTTTATACATTTAAAAATATGGAAAATAACCGGGACAAATCTCAAGAGAATTGGGGGGGGGTGTTACCAAGTTAAATGTATCGTTTTTTAATGAGCTAAGACGGCAAAACAGAAGGAAGAGGTATACTTATTTAAAGAATTAAGATGAAAAAAAGTGCGCAGCTGGGAAGTTCACAGGTTTTGAAACTGACCTTTTTCTGCGAAGTTCACTTTAATACGAGAAATTTGATAAGAGAGGCGGGCCTCCTTTTACGTTGAATCAGATGCTTTGAGTTTAAACCCACCATGTATGGAAGAGCAAGAAGAGAGAAGATGTATGAAGATAAAGGGGGAAACAAAAACGATGTTAATGCAAAAAAAAAAAAAAAAAAAAAACCGATGCCACAGACAATGATTCCTCTGAGAAATAATTATGGCGGAACTGTCCGGACTGCTGACAGTGAATTCTGGTTTGCATGTTACTTGTATTCCATTGATGGTGTCCCCCCTCCCTTTGCTCACCTGCACTCAACTCCATTTTCATCTCAGTAGGAAAAGCATCCGGAAATTGATATACATCCATATATATATTTTTGCCCTCCAAAGAAAAGGAGTCGGAAGGGGGAAATTTTTCACTGATTGTCCCAAGAAGATAGAGATGGGCAGAAAATGTGGGGAAAGGAGAAGGAAAACAGGAAGATGAAATCGTGAAGGTACACCACCTTGTATAGTGCGTGACACATAGTAGGCGCTCAGTCATTGTTAGTTCACTCCACTCCTTTTCTTGTATTCCCTTTGACTGGTTTCCTGAAGTCCTATTTGAGGACAGTGCTTTATTTTTCCCATCTCTATCCCCTCAAATTCACCTTAAATAACACCCAGCTAGATACAGGCACTAGGTTTGTGTAAAATATGTTGATACACACGAACAAAGTTTATTTTGGCTATAATGTGTGAACCGAGGGTTGACTTTCAACACTTGCATTTTATTCCACAAAGGTGTATCTATTCGTGTAATCCTTTTTGTTGTTGTTATTGTTTCAATTCCCGTAGCTATTTAAACCAAGATGCCCTGGACTAAGCAATCTGTATCCCAATTCTCTAGCAAGCCTCCTTAGTTTTGTTTTTTTCCTTCTAATTTACAAGAAAGAGGAAAAGCTCTTCTAACTGAACTTTGGTATGCAGTTGAGCTTTGTAACTATTTGTTCTCCATGAAAACAAAATTATTTATATTTGCCATATTTTTTCTAGTGTATTAAGTTATTTTAAACAAAAGAAGATGCTGTTATCTCATGACCTGTTGTCGGTACAAAATGTTACGGCTCCACCTCTGTTAAATCTTTTAAAATAAGTGCCAAGTTATTAATCGAAGACACTTTGCGATCAATTGAATGAAAATAGTATTGTTTCATTTGATGGGGTTCGCGTCATCTTTGTTCCAGTTACTATTAAAATATCCAGGATAGTGTCTCTTTTCTTTTTGATGACTCAATCCCTCTCTCCCTCTCCCTCTC